CACAGACACACGCGCACACACACTTTATCCCCAACTGACTAAGGATCTAAATGCAAAAGGAAAGTTATGAGCAGATGAAAGAAAACACAGAACATGCTACGGCCTTAAGAGTACAGAAGGCCTTTTACAAATTATCACTGTTTTAGCCAAATGCAAAGGTTTAAAGAGTATTTTGATGTTCTTGCCATCACTTAATAAATAAAACATTACAAATATAATTGAAGCCAAATAAATAAACAATTCTTGCCCTTATGAAGTTTAAGGTTTAGAGAGGTAAATATGCAGGAAGTACTACAGGAGCACAGACAGCACCCGATCCAGACCCGGCTCAGGACCACCCAGTCATGAAATGAGGGTTAAGGGTTTTCTAGACAGAAAAAATAACATACACATACACTATACATCATCTTTGACTCTAAAGGTCAAGTGAAGATTACCAATGGCAAAATCCAGAGCATGCCAGTCTACCAATCTGTGCTACCAACCAGAGCTGTGCTTTCTGAAACAGCTCACATCAGTTTACTTGCCACTAGGGGGTGGAGTTGGGGAAAATGTATAAAGCAGAACATCCAAACAAAAAGAGATTATGCAGAAGGCACCAACATGAAAAGCATCATTTAGAAGTAATGATTAAGCCAATCTACCTTAGAGCAAAGGATGAAGAGATTACTTACAAGAAAATGAAAATTTGGAGACATTCAAATTTTATCAGGGTGACAGATTTATAGTACTGACAGGAATGAACTTCCTGCTCTGGATATGTGTGTATACATGCATCTTTAAAACACTAATCTATATACTACAGCCATATTTCAACATACACAGCTGTCTTATTCATATTTCTCATTAAATCTAAGATTCACTGGATGAACTGCAGGATAAAAAAAGAGGCTGCAGCCATTGTGACAGTATCACTAGTGTTTCTAAAGCCTTTCACATTGTTGAGCAGCTCTGCTTCTCCAAATTCTCATGTTTCCTGGTTTCTATATAACCATACAATGCAGTTGAATTCTTTATCCACTTTCCTGTCTCTTATTGAATTCTCTGCCTAGCTTTCATCTCCTGGCTATGAATGTACCCAAAGATGAAGTATTGGGCACTTATTTTTCTTTTCAAAATACCAACTTCCTTGAAGATATAAGAAAGACTTCAATTATTATCTTAACAAAATAATTTCAAGAATTCTGGCTTGGACCTTTTGTTAAAGTCTACAAAGTTACACGTCATTTTCTTGGATATTGTGTCTCTGACTCAAATCAACACACATATATACACACTTACACATGTATAAATGCGCATACTTTTAAAAAAATCATAGGGACTTATATTTTTATTTACGAATAACTCATCTCTGCCTAGGTCAGTGGAGTTCACTGTTGTTTCTCTTAACCTATCCATTACATTCTAGCTTTTCTTAGTCACAAATCATGTCTTTCTTTTCTTTTTTTTTTTTTTTGACCCTCTACCATGACTAATTTAATGTGGGCACTGATCACCTCAAAACTTACAACAGCTTTCCTGCTTCCAATTTCTTTCCTCCCTCCCAGCATTCTGCACGTCATTGTTGGCTGTCTCTCTCGAACACACCATTTTAAACCCATCACACTTTTTCCCTCAAAGCTTTTTAAAGAGGAATAATATCCAATGTTTTAACTATAGTATTTAAGAACTTAAAATAGTGTCTTTATTTTGCCTATCCAATGTATCTTTTCCAATATTCATGTCTCTCTACTCTTAAAAAAAGTCCTTTCCTCAGACTTCTTCCTCGAGCTACCCTACCACTGTGCTTTCAGAAAGAACTGCTTGCATTTGCAAGCAATATGGATTTTCCTCCAATCATGCTGAGTATCATTTTTGCAGTTTCTGCAAAGCAAATATTTAAGCTTCTCATTTTGCTTAACCTCACCATGCCACTCATAATTTTGTTTTCACCTTTCATCACTCTCTATTAGCCATCCCTCTAGACTCTTAAGCTCAAGCCACACCAAACCATTAGACTTCCCCTAACATTACCTTGTTCTTTCAGTTTGTGATTCTACATGTGCTATTTCCTGCCTCTCTAATACCTTTCCTGATTGCATAGTGCTACTAACTTCTTACAACCCAGATGAAACTTCACTTTGTCAGTGGAATCACCCCTCACTCTCACAAACATCTTTGCTCCCAGTGCACTTTTACACAGTTCACTAATATGACTCATGACACTGCATTGTAATTGTTTCAAATCTCTATATACTCAGAATCTAACTTATTTTGAGGCACCTACTAGACAATTAGGAGTGGGTGTGAAAAGGCCTGCTATGACAGCATTATTCCACTCACTGTCACTCAAGTATACTATGAAAAGGCAGTATGTATCATGGTTGAGAGCTCAGATTTTAAAGCCGGGCCAAGTAAGAATTTTGGATCTACCACTTAGCTACACAAGTTAACTAACCTTTCTATGCCTGGCTTTCCCTATGTGTAAAACCAGGATTAATTAGACCTATCTTATAAGGTTTTATGAAGATTAAATGTATCAAACAGTGCTCAAAACAGTGACTGATACAAAATAAGCATTAAATATATATTGGCTATTATAATTATTCCTGATCCTTTTCACATGATAGTCTTCTATTAGGTTTTATATTCTCCATTCTATGTTACATCCATATTCTCTGTGATGAATGGGCTTCCTTCATATTTCCCTTTATCCAAATCTTACTCAGCTTTCAAGGCTAACTTCTGGTAGGGCCTCTGCTCATTACAATCCTTAAATGATCACTCTCCACTTTAAGTATTTATAGCATTTTCTGTATAACTCTGCATTTAATTAAAACTGCTTTGCATCTTTGTAATTTTTCAGGTGTAAGTTTTGTCAGCCCAATTTTTGTAAACTCTTTGAAGGTCCTGATGACATCTCATACATCTCTGCGAGTTCCTATAGCAGGTGATAAGTGCTTAGTATTTGTTCTGTAAGACAATAAAGCACAATAAAAACCTCAATTCTGATCAAACTGCCTTTGCAATCAAAGAAATAGAGAAGCTTGTGAAAACATTCCATGCTTCTCTAGAAGCTAAAGTTGCAAATGTATTGGGGCCAAGGAATTCTGACTCTCATTAAAGTGAGAAGCTCTGAAATAGCTTCCAGGGGAAAAACCCTCCCTGACACTCTAGAGGAGTTAAGGGTAGCCCTTATATTCCCAAACCAAATTATGAGAAATGTGGCAAAATAATTGAGAGCACAAGATTTGGAGTCACACAGATCTAGGTTTTAGAGCAGTGGTTCTCAACCTTCCTAATGCCACGACCCTTTAATACAGTTCCTCATGCTGTGGTGAGCCCCAACCATAAAATTATTTTCGTTGCTACTTCATAGCTGTAATTTTGCTACTGTTATGAATCGTAATGTAAACATCTGATATGCAGGATGTATTTTCATTGTTACAAAGGGGTTGTGACCCACAGGTTGAGAACTGCTGTTTTAGAGGGACTCAGAGCCTGTTTTCTTCTCTAGAAAGTACACACCTACTTCACAGGTATGTAACAATACATTTTAACACCTACTTCACTGGCACATAACAATCAATATTCACCCTAATATTTAACTAAAATGCAAACTCTTAGGAAAAAAATTTAAATTAACTAAAAATACTGCAATTCATAAAAATGAGAACATTTTTAGTGACATAAGAATAGGCTGTATTACATTAGCTGGCAGCAGTATTTATAATACTCCAAATTAGCCATAAGAAAATCAAACAAGTATATTATATAGTCAATAATAGACTCGAGATGAGGGGGGAAATCCGCTACAAAGTTTATCCTCCTTTTTTGACACCCCTTCCTGTAATTTTATTCATTTGTAATTAAAAGCAAACGTTCAAAATTATCCCCAAAGAGAAATATTCAGAAAGTACAATTTAATATCAACTTGGTTCTATAAATCTAGCATTCTGGTTCATTGTTCGGAAATACTTCCAAATAGGAATTAACATGAATTTAAGAAATTAAGATAATGGCGAACAGCTCCTATGATGATCTGAGTCAGTAATTTCAAATGAAGAGTTGTTCCAACTTGAAGCTGGCAGTCACACACAGTCTAAAGGGTTTGTTTACAGCACTGACTAAACCAAATACCCCAATCTTTTAGAGGATTCGTTCTGGCATTCTAATAATTACCTTAAGGCAGTGTAACTGCCGAATTGTCAAATAGTTTACAAATTAAACCCAAAGAGGTCTCTTTCTTAAAAAAAAAAAAGAACAAAAGTGGCAAGTCTTATTTTTAACCTGTGATATTTTTTCAGTTTCAGATTATGAATAAAATGCTGTTCATCCTTTGGAGAACAGAACCTTGGTACTTGGAACACCTTCAAGCTTTGGGCACTAGGTGAAATTTTAAAAACACATGGATCCGCTGCCATAGGACACAGTGAGTGGTATGTGGGATTCGTTAGGAATGGTACATAGAAGAGATCAAAAGAAAAGACACGTTAGTTAATAATGTTTCTAAGCCCTGTGAGCTTTCAACAACAGTGAACGTTACAATTTTAGGAAGAAAATATGCTTCTGGTAAAGGAACATCAATCTTAGGGAAGAAAACCGAGAGTCAAGCGCGAGGCTAATGGAATTTAAAGATGGAAAGGGCAATGGGGAAAACGTGGACTCTTGGTAACCAAAAAGGGGTAAGATCTGGAGGGGACTTTGGGGTGGGGGGGTATGGCGTAAGGAGAGGCTGTGTGTGTTTGAGTGTGCGTGTGGCAGGAGTAATGTTTCTTCTTAGGACTGAAAAATCGAGGTGACAAAGTTGTGCGAGTAGAACCCAGAGGTGCGGGAGCAGGGAGAGGAAGGAATGTGGGGATTTCCAGGCGGAGCTGACAAGTTCGGGGCACGCGCTGTCCCCCGCTCCTCTTTTGGGGAAGGGAGGCCCCCAGAGTGCCAGGCCGCCAGTCCGCGCGGACGGAGCTCAAACCCTCCCGCTACTCGACCCTTCGCCGGCCCCGGCCCTGGCCCCTCCTCACCTCAGCCCGCCGCGCCTCGATCCTCCGCGCCTCCACAGCGCGCGTCCCCGTAGGAGCCGGCGCCGCGGAGCCAAACCACTAGGCCTGACCGGCGCAGACCTAGCGCGACTCCGCCGGCCTCCAGGCTGCTACCCCGGCTCCGGCACGCTCGCCGCTCCTTCCCGCAGAGGTGGCGCGCGGCCTTCCTCCCGCGGCGGGGCGGGGCGCCCCAACTCCGCCCCGCGGCGCTCCGCCCCCGGGCCCCGGGCCTGTGCTCCGGATTGGTCCCTGGGAGACCCAGCGCACCCACCCATTGGTCCAGCGGCCGCCCGTCGACGAAGGGGCAGGATTCCAGGGGCTGCGATTCCCGTAACGCGGCTCCCGGCGTCCCGGATTCCGGTGGCTGCGCCCGCGTCGCCTCTCCCAGACTAGATCGAAGGGTTCCCCCCACCTCCCCTCTGCGGGCGGAAGGAGCGGAATGTTCCATTTTTCCGTGGAGTAACGGGGTCATGAACCGAAGCTCGGGTGCTGCCCGCTCCTCCTGCCTTCCCTTCCAGCCAGGGCGCCCTCGGCCTCCCTTCGGCGAGAGACCCAGAGCCCCTAGGGACCGCTGGGCTCCCGTGGGGACAGGGGCGGCGTGGAAGCCTCCTGGGGAGAGTGAAGGGTTTGGCGGCCGTGCCTCCACACGAGGTTGCCGCAGATTGTGGTGGCGGCGGCGGCGGCGGCTTCGGTCCACGTCTATGTAAACGAACTTGACCATAGTGTAGTTTTTTAAATTAGTAAATGAGTTTGGGTGCGATTGATCTTTCAGCCCCACAGCTGCGGACTCGCCAAAAGCTAGTATTTCTTTGTGGTTTGTATGTCCCAAGCAGCGATAAAAATACCAAGTAAAATCCAGTTTCATTACAATTCACCTCTTCTCCACCTTCACTCCTCATTTCACTCCCTGCCTGGAAAATGGACCTAAAGGCTCAGCTACTTTTTCCCAAAACAGGATAAGAAGTTTTGTGTGTGTGTGTGTGTGTGTATGTATGTGTAAAGAAATACACTAAAGGTAAGGGCTTTTGTGAATGATGGCAGGAGATACGAGGGCTATAACAGTTAAGGTTTCATTATATTGAGGATTCCAGACACAAAATCGAATTATGTTCTTAGTCGTGATCAGACAATTTTTAAAAGACACAGGAAGGTGGGCCTACTAAGTAAGGAGTCCTTGGCAATCTTGCTGCAACTGATGATCTATTCAGCTGTTGATGCTCCCTGCCATCCTATATCTAACCTACAAATTGTGTTCTACCTTTGCTAGTTATAGGGGTGTTATAGATTTTTATAAAAAAAATTGATAAAGTAAAACATTGTGTAGATCCAACAGGTCATTTTAACCACTATACGTTTTATTTGGAGAAACCTATGGTGGTTAAGTATACCCTCTGATTCCGGATTGTCTAGGTTGGAATACTGGTGCTGCTACTTCCCATCTCTGTGACCTTGGACAAGTCTTTCCAGTTTGTTCCTATACAAAATGAGAATAATGATACCAACTAATGGGATTGTTGCAAGGATTAAATGGGTTAAAATACATGAAATGCTTGGTACATGGTAGGTCTTCAGTAAGTATCAGCTATTGTTATTTTTGAATGTCTGCTACTTCTGCAGTGCTTTCAAAATCTTTTAAGTCACTCTGCATGTTGAAAATGGTGCAACAGGGTCCCTTGGCTCATGCCTGTAGTCTCAGCTGCTCAGGAAGCTGAGGTGGGAGGATCTCTGGAACCCAGGAGTTCAAGGTTATAGTAAGCTGTGATCATGTCATGAACTCCAGCTTGCCAGCCTGGGTGACAATGAGACCCCTGTTTCTAAAAAAGAAGAAAACAATGTTATTTCTCATTTCTACTTTTCAATGGGTGACAATGAGGCCCTGTTTCTAAAAAAGAAGAAAACAGTATATTTCTCATTTCTACATTTCAATGTAGAAATGGAAGGACAGGTTGACAGAAGGGAATCAATATCTCACATATTTGTCTGCCTTGGCACACCGGTCAGGAGTTGGTCCATTTGTGGACATCTTTGTTAGCTCAGCCCCTAAGCCCTGCCTCTAAGAAACTCACATTTTGTGTGGATAAAGTCTTAGGCTAAAAGGATGAGTCAGTATTGGAAAAAGATTTTTTTCAGAACAGCAGGATAGTAGGAGATCTCTACTCTGCTGTAGTTACATAACTTTGTAGACCCTTCTATACAGGATTGTCTTGAAATAACCACTTCCAGGTTAAGTATTTGTCACTGGAAAGCCCTGTCAAAATGTAGAGGTAAATAGGATAAAGTGGCATTTTTTTCTTTTTCTTTTCTTTATTTCTTATAGCATAACTGTGTACATTAATGCAATCATGGGGTACAGTGTGCTGTTTTCATACACATTTTGAAATACTCTCATCAAACTGGTTAACATAACCTTCACGTCAGGCATTTTTTTTTTTTGGAGACAATCTTATTTTGTTGTTGGTATGCTCTGACATCATCATAACTCACAGCAACCTCAAACTCCTGGGCTCCAGTAATCTCCTGCCTCAGCCTCCTGGGTAGCTGGGACTACAGGTGAACACCACCACATCCTGCTAATTTTTTCAATTTTTGCAGACAGGGTCTCACTTTTGCTCAGGCTGGTCTCCAATTCCTGACCTCAAGCAATTCTTCCTTCTCAGCTTCCCAGAGTGCAAGGCTGACAGACCTGAGCCACCATGCCCACCACAAGGTGGTATATTAACAGAAAACTTTCTATTTATGTCACAAATCACCATTTGTGATTTTAGATAAGTCAAGAGCAGAGAGTGGGGAGCCTGCCCAGCGAGCAGGGCAACAGGAGAGCACTGAGGTTATTTACTTGGGAGTAGGTGAACAAAGCTAGGAAAAGTGCTATGGAACAAAGATGACACATACTGAAGGCAAACTTTGCTTGCCTTCCTATTTGCCTAAATCTGGTCTTGACCAGGATATCAGTTTACTTCCTTGTCTGCCCAGTTATATTTCTGAAACTCTGTGTCAGCCCTGGAAGTATCCTTATGTCCTACATCGACCTCATGTTTTCATCATCTGTTTTGATGACTCAGCACCCTGAGCTCATTATTTCTCATCCTTTCTTTTCCGATGATTTTCAACTTCACTCTGTATCAGCAACCCACAGATGGAGTCACACCTTCAACCCAGTCATCAATGAAATAACTCCCTCTCCAAGTTTTGGGTTGTGAATCTCACCTCTGTACCCACAGCCACCTACTCCTCTACCTCTCTTTTGTGCTCTCTCCCATTGAATAGGCAGTTTGTCCTCAGGGTGACCTCCACTCTTTGTTCTCATAGTTTATCAGCTACTTCCTACCTTCTCTTATCTTCCTAAGCAGTGAGAACCCTTTTTATCAATGTTTTTTAACTGCACTCTCACTAGTATCCCTCAATTCCCTTGACCTTCAGCCATGTTTACTTTACCAATCTATTGCCTATTTCCCTTTTCCTTGAACTACCAACCCCACCCTAACACGTATTCTTAGTATGGAACCTTGTTTCATTATTTCCTGGAAAAATAAAGAACTTCATGTGTGAGCATCCTTAACCTTTCCAACTTAGGAGGCAGCTATGTATTTATCCTTTATCCCCTGCCTCTGAAGAAGAAAGGCTCCTTTTCTTTTAAAAGATTAACTTCTCCTCTGTTCTTGGTATACCCCCAAGTCTTATATTTTTCATTATTACCACTATATGCCTTAGAAATGTTTAAAAATTGAATAATTAACTCAGTGATAAGTTGGGGACAACTTTTCTGTATGTGTTAAAATCTTCGTAACATAACAGCACCTAATTCACCAAATAAAATGTAAAATAAAGTCTCAAACTGAAGCCAGTTAAGCTATGTTATAATTCATTTAATAAAGTGAGTTTGGGATGAAATATTAAATGAACTTGTCAAATGTTACCGAAGAACAATACATATTCAGAAAAATGAACACGTCATATGAGTACACCTTGAGGCCTGGCATGGTGTCTCATGCCTGTAAGCACTTCAGAAGCCTGAAGCAGGAGGGTTGCTTGAGGCTACAAGTTTGAGATCAGCTTGAATAACATACTGAGACACTGTTTCTACAAATAAATAAATAAGAAAAGAAAAAGAAAAAAAGGAAAATTTTCCAATTATGGTGGTGTATACATGTAGTGCCAGGTACTTGGGAGGCTGAGGCAACAGGATCACTTGAGCCCAAGAGTTTGAGGTTAGAGTGAACTATGATGATGCCAATGTACTCTAGCCTGGGCAACAGAGCAAGACCTTATCTCAAATAAATATATAAAAATTAAAAAAAATAATAAAAAATTAAGAATATAGCTTGAAAATTTTTCTAATTGAACACACTCGTGCAACTAGCACCTAGATTAAGAAACAGTATCCTCTAAAATCCCCGAAAAGTTTCCTCCTATTCCCATCCAGTTCGTGGTAGGCCATAAATGACCCCTAATTTAAATTCTAATACTGTAGTGTTATGACTATCATTTTAAAATTGGCAAGTTGGTGGGAGAGGGGAGGGGAGAGGAGTGGATGGGTGGAGGGAGGGTGATTGGTGGGGTCACCTCCATGGTTTATCTTACAAGGGTACAGGTGAATCTTTCTAAAAGCAGAGTATGAATGTCTTAACTCAATAACTAAGAAAATGACATGATGGCTACGTTAACCAGTTTGATGAGAGTATTTCAAAATGTATATGAAATACCATACTGTACTCTGTGATTGCATTAATGTACACAGCTATGATTTAATTAAAAAATCTTTTAAAAAAAAATTGAAAAGTTAGCAATGTCCACCCGCCTCGGCCTCCCAGTGTGCTAGGATTACAGGCATGAGCCACATACCCAGCCTCCAACATGAATTTTTTTTAAAAAAAGATATTTTGTGGGTTTATGTAGATAAGAATTCCAAGCACGCTACCCTGGTGTGGTGGCTGGATAAAGATATTGTACTAACTGTATTAAATAATGGTTTAGGCAAATGTGTGTCTATCTCCTTATAGGAGGATGGCAGTGCCATACTGAAAAGGAAAAATTAAATGCATCTACTTCCTGAGAGAGCTGGAATTTTCTGAAAATTGTCTCCTCTGTTTTTTCGTAGGATTTAGAGTATGTCCATTTTCCATAATTACCAAATAATAAAT